CTCCCAAGTGCTGGGACTAAAGGCGTGCGCCACCACTGCCCAGCTTAGGTGATTTTATTTTATTTTATTTTTTGATTTCAAGGCAGGCAGTAGTCTATCATTTTGAAGCTGCTTAGCCACTAGTCCTATAAAGAGGTGGTGAGAGGCCAAATGCTGTCACATGTATCATCAATAGAGAATGATACTTAGCTGTTTACCTCATAAGACTGAGTCTGTAGAACACAGGAATGTGTCTTATGCAGCATCACTGCCTCTCACCACGTCTGAAACAACCAATATCCTGTTTTGGGAAAGCTTTGGAAGCTGAGTCAAAGTGGACGCCATTCTGGACAACAATTTTGCTATTTTTATGCTTCATAACATATAAGTACCTATATAAGTACCTTAAGTATTTATGACTTTGCTTTGCTTTTCTAGAATGAATATAATCACCAGTTTCAGACTAAACATAGAGCAGACATCAGGGACAAACACATTTAATCCAAAACTCTGTTGGCAATAGAATTAGTTTGTAACTGATGAAACAGATTCAGAGAGATTAACTTACCTGAGTTTGCACAGCTAGTAAGCATTAGTGCCAAAATTTAATGCCAGTTAGTCTGATCCCAGATCCAATGGCCTTAACCACTCAAAAGTGTCTACATGTAACCTGTCACCCTCTTCTAAAAAAGAACCACAAGTCCTGTTATGTGCCTCAGTCCTAAGTGAGAAGACTGACAGCAGGCTACAATGAGAATCAGTATTTTGAACTTTGGCTGTTTTTTATTTTTCTTTGAGACAAGGTCTCTCTTTATAGTTCTGACTGTCCTGGAACTCAATGTGTAGACAAGGCTGGCCTTGAACTCACAGGGATCCAACTGCCTCTGCCTCCCAAGTGAGTGTAGGCATCATAGGTGTGCACCACTAGGTCAGCAACATTTCATTTTTTCTTCCTGTTATAATGTAAATTCCAGGGGCTGGAGGGATAGCTCAGTGGTTAAGAGCACTGACTGCTCTTCCAGAGGTCCTGAGTTCAATTCCCAGCAACCACATGGTGGCTCACAACCATCTGTAATGGGATCTGATGCCCTCTTCTGGTGTGTCTGAAGAGAGCAATGGTGGTGTACTCATATATATAAAATAAATAAATAAATCTTTAAAATAAATAAATAAATCTTTAAAAAAATAATGTAAATTCCAAATGGAGAACTTTTTTGTTTTGAACAAAATAACTATAACATCAGTGCCTGAAACAGGTAGTAAGTAGAAATGAAACAGGTTGTATTAATGAATGAGGAAGGTGCATGTTACATTAACTGCTCGAGAACTTTCTGCTTCTTTTAATATCACATATCTAGTTTTTGCTGTAGGACACAATATCCTGTTTGATTTTTAAGAGCTTCCAATAAAAATACACCAAAATATATCCTGTCAGGAAGTGAACACCAAGTGACATCACTGAAGCCAATACAAGTATATCTGCCTTTCTTACACTTAGAAGACTTTTTTTTTTTTTTTTTTTGGTTTTTTGAGACAGGATTTCTCTGTGTAGCCCTGGCTGTCCTGGAACTCACTCTGTAGACCAGGCTGGCCTCGAACTCAGAAATCTGCCTCCCAAGTGCTGGGATTAAAGGCGTGCGCCACCACCGCCCGACCAAAGATTTTGACTTTTGAAACAACGTCGTACAAATTATTGGTAGAGTTTAGGATTGGCCACAGCTTAGAAAACAAGTTCTGCCAAGGAAAAGCATGTTTGATGGTGGTTTTCCAGGACAGCTTAGGGAAACCTTGTTTCAAAAAACCAATAAATAAATAAATAAGTAATAAAAAAAAGTTAAAATAAGAAAGAAAATGTAAAACTCAAATCTGATGGTAAGAATATATTGGGAGAAATGTAGTGCAGGAGCCAGCAAGATGACTGCAGCTCAAAGCACTTGCTCTGTGTGCCTGGCAACCCAAGCTTGACCTCTACAGCTCACATTTTAAAAAAACCTATCTATATATATTATTAAAAAGGTACGATAGAGATATAGATATAGGTATAGATAGAGATATAGTGGGGCTTTCTCAGCATTCCTGCAGCAAGATGGGAGGTAGAACAATCTTCTGGAAGCTTTTGTACGCACCGAGTACCAGAAACAAGAGATCCTGCCTCAAAAACAGGTGGAGGGGCTAGGAAAATAGCTCAGCAGTTAAGAGAGCTTGCTGCTCTTGCAGAGGACCCAAGTTTCGTTCCCAGCACCCATGCTAGGTGGCTCACAAATACCCAGCACTCCAGTTCCAAGAGATCCAATGCCTCTGGCCTCAATGGGCAACTCACCCTTATTGTGCACATACTCATGGATTTATAATAATTAATTGACTTCTGAAAAGTTGTCTTCTGACTACTACATGTGTACTGTGGAATATTCACACACATATATACTCACACCATACACACACACACACACACACACACACATACAAATTAAAAAGAAAAATACAGGGGACAGGTGGGGTTGGGAACAGGAGAGGTGGTGGGAAGGAAGAAATGACTGGAATTTAAAATCACTCACGCATCCTAAGGTTTAACTCCTTAAGTGGGATTTAAAATGCCACCAAATTGGGGACATTTTGGGGGGTGAAGTAGAAGCCTAGTGCAATGGAAATCCCCCAGAATTTATGAGAATAATCCTAGCAAAGACTCCTAGTAATAGGGGACACGGAAGTTGAATTGGCCATCTTCTGTAATTAGTCAAGGCCTCAAGTGGAGTGACTGGGACACCAACCCAGCCACAAAACCTTCCACCTATAGTTTGTTCTGCACAGTGTTCTAGACCAGAACCTAAAATAATCATCAGAGAGACCAGAGAGACCTCATTCAGCAACTGATGGGGAACAGACACTGGGTCCCATAGCCAAACATTAAGTGGAGCTCTGGGAATCCTGTGGAGGAGAGGGAGGAAGGATCAGAGGAGCCCAAGGGGTCAGGGACATCACAGAACCCAGAGTCAACTGTAGGACTCACTGGGGCTTGTAGAGATCAGGGAGCCTGTAGGGGTCTGACTCAGGTCCTCTACATATATGTTCTGGCTGCGTAGCTTGGTGTTCGTGGGGCAGCTGGGGCTGTGATTGACTCTTTTGCTTGCTTGTGGAACCCTTTTCTTCCTACTGGTCTACCTGATTCCAGCCTTGATGTGATGATATGTGCCTGGGCTTATTGTTACCACTTATGCCCTGTTTGATTTATTGAAAAACTGGGAAGTCTGTTCTTTTCTGAGGGGGAGTGGAGGGGGTTGGATCTGAGAGAGAGAGAGGAGGGGATAAAGAGGTGGGGGACAGGAGGGAGGAGAAACTGCAGTTGGATGTAATGTAGAATAAAAAAATAAAAATTATTATTTTTTTCGGGGGGGGGTGTTTCGAGACAGGGTTTCTCTGTCCTGGAACTCACTCTGTAGACCAGGCTGGCCTTGAACTCAGAAATCCGCCTGCCTCTGCCTCTCAAGTGCTGGGATTAAAGGCATGTGCCACCACCGCCCGGCAAAAATAAATAAATAAATAAATAAATAAATAAATTAAAAAAAGAAAATATATTTGAGGAAAGGGGACTGGAGAATGCTAGGATATGTGAGTGATTTTAAATTCTTACACAATACTGTTTGCAATTGTGACAAAGTCATTGACCTTTGGCTCTCCTATTTGAGCATGTAACAAAATGGATTTGTGTCATGTCCTGTAGGTCATGTCTTCTGGATTGATCTCTTCCCCTGACGTTTAATTCTAGTTTCTTGCTGAACCAGGTTGACCTATGCTGTGTTACTTTTTCTTGGGAGATAGAAAGGCCTAGTCATTCTTGGGGGAAGGGAACTGACAGACCAAAGAAAGAATTCTATCCAAGTTCAGCTTGGTGAGCCACTGACTTTATTGAGGCCACTTATAGGTACCTGGGTGACTCAAGGGGAGTTACATCACCAGGAAGTCCCTTGGGCAGTTTAACTACACAAATTAAAAGTCTCACCTGCAGCATGAATGATTCACAAAGAACCTGCACCACGGAGGAGCTCCTTGGGCCACTTATGGGCAGCTTCAATAATGGAAGAGTCCTTCTTCTGGTCAACTTGCTCCTGAAGATGTACCTTCCCCCCATGAGTAGATATTAGTAGGCCTGGTCCCATGGGTCTCCTGTAGCTGATGCAAGACAGCAAGGTCATGCCCATCTTAGAAGACACAACTACACAATAGCCTAGAAGATCTAATCTGGCTTAAATCTAAAAGCTGGAAGAGAGTTTCCTAACAGTCTTGAGAGTTAGGGGGTCCAAAAAGGGGCTAAAGAAGTGTAAACAGGATTTCTTTAGGTAGGCTAAGAATAATTTTTACCTCATAACCTCTGGCCTAATTGCTCAGGAAGTAAAGATAGCCAAAAGGCTTGGCAGGGTCTAGAGATAGAGGGAAATTCTGGGTAGGCTGGAGGAAGAAAGTAAACATTTGCCGAATGAATGAAGCAATGGTGAGGACAAATCGTGGTCACTGGAGTGACGCTAGGTACCTCATCTGTAGGATGTTAGAAAACAGTATTTAATTGTGGCAAATTGTATTTTCACAATATGTTAAGTATGAATAAAAGCATTCCCCAACAACTTCCTTTTGTAAAGTAACTTTGAAACAAGGTCCTATAAGTCTAAATTCACAAAAGGTGGGTCATGGCTAAGACTAGAGAAACTCTAGCAGAGGTGGCGATTAAAAAAAAAAAAAAGATTTTTTTTTTTTTTGAGACAGACTCACTATAGTTCAGGAAGGTATCGAACACCTGATCCTCCTTCCCTGGTCTCCAGTAATGAGATTATCAGCGTGCCACTCGGAAACTGATTTAGTAAGGTCTTACTTTAGCATTTAGTAAGACTTGGTCATATCAGAGACTAGGGTGACGATGATGATAATGAAGTCACGATGGTCTGTCCTTGTGAAGTCAAAGTCATCAAAGCGTTTACGTTATCACGTCATTCTTTCAGACTACCACCTGTAGTCCTGGCCAGCGAGGAACACCAGAGCCCAACCCACGGGCCGGGTGGGGGGCTCCCGGCGGGAACCGGGTGGCCAAAGCCCGGCCCTGGTCTCCACGTTAAGCGCCGGGCAAGATCTCCCGAGAGCCCTCCTCATTTTCTCCCTTTGCAAGGCCTAATGGGAGTTGTAGTTCAGCCGTAGGAAGACCTGCTCGGCCCAGACCCTTTCTTCGTTTCGTCTACGCCCCGAATGAGGGCGAAGACTCGGGATCGCGGGGCCGGGCCCAGAGAACGCCGAACTACAATTCCCTATGGACCCGAGATTCCAGTACGCAATCACAGGTACCCGAGGCAAGATCCGCTCCGGCGCACGCGCACCGAACGGTGGCGGGACTCGGCCGCGTGCGCTTTCCCGCCCTCGTCACGCCCTGCGCCGTCGGTAGGGCTGTCTTATAAGCTGTAGGCTTTCTCTGCGCGCTCCGCCTGTTTCCCTCCTTCAGGACAGCCTCAGCCCGCTCCTGGCTTCTGTGCCTCTGCTACTTCTGCTGAAGGAGGAGGCTCCATGTTGTCCCCTCAGCGAACTGCAGCGGTGGCATCGAGAGGAGCAGGTGAGGCGTCCAATTTGCCCCGGACCGCTCCGTGGTTACCCACGCCACCTTCCAGTGCTTCGGCTCCGAGGTGACAAGCCGCCCCTGCCGCCGCCTTTTTTGGTGTGGCGACGGGAGGGCGCACCGCTGGGTGCCTCGGCTCCGCATTCAGGGCCGGGGCTCCTGGAGCTGGGAAGGTTCTCAGTCTCAGCCCGGAGCCCGCGGCCTCCTGCGGCCTGGTGGTCTGGCCGGTCGAGCTCCGCCCTGTGTTGGGCAGGGCGTGCCGGGCGGCGGCGCGCTCCGGGTCGGGAAGCGAGACTGGCTGTGTTAACGGGCCGGGATCGGCGGAAAGGCTTTATTGTTGAGCCTTAAAGTGCTGGAATGCTGCGGTGCAGCCTTGGAGTTGAAACGTTTTATTTTAATCGGAAAGACCTTGAGTTACTGACAAATATTAGTAAAGTTCATTTTCCACACGCGCGTATCTCCATGTTAGGAGATAAAAGAAGTGGCCTAAATTTGGTTTTGTTTTGCAAGATTTTTTTTTTTTTTTAAATTTAAAGTAGGTTTGGTTCCTTTGGCTTTCCCGGAGACAAAATGAGGTAGTGAAAGTACTAAATGAAAGCCAAATAGTACCACCATAAATTCATGGATGGGATTTCGCCTGTCATTTTGCCTGGCACTATGCTTGTTTAATGGATATGGCCCTGAAATGATTGCAAGTTTCAGTTGCGAAATCTAAAGGAAAAAAAGAGTCAACAGTAGTGTTTGAAGAATTTTTTTTTTTTTTTTTTAGCAAATCCCAGTTTTCAAATTTGAGTATGAAGTGGAATGTTTTGTGAAAGTTGAAGAAAAAAAACCTAACAGACTACAACGGCTTGGTTCTAAGTTTTGTTTTGGAGAAGTGGAGTTAAGTAAAATCTACACATAGACTTGTAATCTGTGTCAGTATTCAGCTTACATACAAACTGGATCCTCAAATGAGGTTGTTTTGCTTTTTATGGAAGCCAGCTTGTATTCTAGAAATTCCTGTGCAGCTTTAACATGAGTGAGGGAATGTATGGTTAAAAAAAATATTCACATAGTGAAGCATATTAGGCCAGTACCAACATATTGTTTTATTTGCAATGGTTTACTGTCTCTTGCAATAGTTATAACCATAAGAAAAGCAGTTCGGGGTGGATGCACACCTTTAATCCCAGCACTTGGGAGGAAGAGTCAGGCAAATCTCTGAGTCCAAAGAGAGCCTGGTCTACAGAGCGAATTCCAGGACAGCCAAGGCTACACAGAAAAATCATGTCTGGGGTTGGAACAAAATGAACCAAACCAAATAACAAAGCAAGACAAATCTCCTCCCCCCCAAAAACCAAACAAACAGAAAAACAACAAAAAACAAAGAGGGAGATGCGATTGTATGCCAGAGTAATTTTCTATAGTGTTTAGTCAAGACTGGTTTGTTTTGTGGTGCTAGGGATTGAACTCAGTTTTGTGCTTTTACAGAGCTTAACCATAATCCCTAGAGCTAGTTCCTATAGCTCCTCACAATGGTGTTTAAAAAAATTGTTTTTTGAGTGGGCATGATGATGCCTGCCTTTAATAGTCATGGCCCTTGAGGGGTAGAGGCAGTCAGGATCATAGTTTAACTACATGGTGAATTTGAAGTTCACCCTGGTTTACATGAGACCCTTTCTCAAATTCCTACCCCCCCAAAAAAATAAGAAAGAAAAAAGAAAAAATTGGTTTATAAATAAAAGTTATAATCACTAATTAAAAGAATAGAGTGGGGCTTCATGATTTAGCACTCTGGAGGCTGAAGTAGGAAGATGTCTAGCTGGAGGTTTTGTTCCAGTAAACCAAACAAAAACCCTAAAGTGAGTAATAGAGAATCATATGAAAGAGAAATATAAGGTTCACCCCTGCCTGTCCTGTGAACAGCGTAGATGAACCTGTTTGAAAATTGGTACAGAATTTACCTATGATGGGCTAAGCCCAATGGCTCAGCAGATGAAAACATTTTTTTACCATTCAAGCTTAACAACCAAAATTTGATTCCTGGGACCCACATCAAGGAGAAAACTGATTCCTACATGTTCTTCTCTTGACTTCCACATGTACGCTGTACATGTGAACACACATTAAATAAATAAACAAATGTAATATAAAATTTTAGCCGTAATGACCAGCATGCCTGTTAATCTTTGACCTGTTTTTTTTTTTCCTTTGAGACAGGCCTCTTCTGTGGCCTAGGCTGGCCTCCAGTTGAGGCTGACCTTAGGCTTCTGATCTGCTTCTACCTTTGAAGTGATGTGATTGCAGATGTGCACTCATTGCACCAGATGCTGTTAAAACTTCCCTGTGGTCTTGTGTTTCATGTTAAGAAGTGTTAAAGTAAAACAATGGCATTTTAAAATTCAAATTTTAAAACATTTTTCTGGGTTGTCTGTCAGACTCTAAGGCCATATTTAATGTTTAGGGAAAATAGTAAGGGGTGAAGGGATAACGTAGTTTAAGACAAACCTCAGTTGTTTTAGAGCTGTGGTTATGTATTACCTAGGGACTTAAAGCCTGCATATGCTTGGGTTAAACTTGTTGGATCTTGAGGAGTATAATGATGTATGTCTTTAATCCCAGCACTTGAGGGGCAGAGGCAGGTAGATCTCTCTGAGTTCAAGGTCAGCCTGGACTACTTGGTGAGTAGGACAGTTAGAGCTACACAGTGAGACCCTGTCTGGAAAAAACTAAAAAAATGAAAACTAGATCTCACAGTGTAGCCATTGTTGGTCTGGAACTTTTTTTGTCCATGAGGCTCATCTTGAACTCATAGAAAGAAAATCCTCATTTTGCATATTTATAATCAGATTTCTCCAATGGTAGTTGTATACATTTGAATAATTTATTTGACAGGAAATAGGCATTTGTTAGCTGTTAGTATTTCTGTTGAAATTTTGTTGCTTTTTACAAATTAAAAGTCTTTATTTGAATTTCTTTTGCTAGAACAGCTAAAAGTATATTATAAAGTAAGCAAAGGATTGCAGTAAGGGCATGGTTATCTTGAAATGATAAATCTAAGCTGAGTAAATATATTTTTTTTAAGATTTATTTATTTTATGTATGTGAGTACACTGTAGCTGTCTTCATACACACCAGAAGAGGGCACCGGATCTCATTACAGGTGGTTGTGAGCCACCATGTGGTTGCTGGGAATTGAACTCAGGACCTTTGGAAGAGTAGTCAGTGCTCTTAACCACTGAGCCATCTCTCCAGCCCCAGCTGAGTAAATATTGCCAGTTAAAATATTCTTGTTTTTAAGCACCTTCCATGTAAAAAAGCCTTTCTTTAAGCTCAGTGTGGTGGCTCACATTTGTAATCCCAGTATTTGGGAGGTGAGACAAAATTGCCATGGATTTGAGGCCAGGCTAGACTACTACATGGTGAGTTCCAGGACAGCTTGAGCTACAGAATTGAGACCCTGTCTCAAAAAACAAAAGGTAAACCAAAACAACAGCAAAGAAACCAAACCAGACTAAGAAACAAGAAGAGACTAAAATAAAACACAAAAGGTTTATTTAACTGTAATTTGACTTAAGTAAAACCTCCAGATTAGTTAGATTTCCTGTGTTTTGGAAAGAGGCAAGTATAACTAGTTCCAGGCCAGACAGTACTACCCAGAGAAACCCTGTCTTGGAAAAAACAACAACAACAACAACAAAAATTCAAAAAGAAATTTGTCCTCCACCCCCACCTCCTGGGACTGGAGAGATGATGGCTCAGTAGGTTAGAGGGTTTACTGCTGTTGTAGAGGATACATTTGGCTCCCAGCACCATAGCTCAGTCCGTACCTTCTGCTGCAAGTGATCAATTATTACCTTCTGGCCTCCTTGGGCTCCTGCATGCATATGCTGCTCATAAATTCTGGAGAGTATACATATATATGCATATATTCATGAAAAAAATTATAGCTATGCAGTAGTGGCACACACATTTAATCCCAGCGCTTGGGAGGCACAGACAGGCATATCTCTCTGAGGCCAGCCTGGTCTACAGAGCAAGTTCTAAGACAGACAGGATTACACAGAAAAAACTGCCTTGAATAGCACTCCCTCCCCACACCAAAAAAAATCTTCAGATTTTTTTTCTCTTGCTTCTAAAAGGCTGAATAGTTTTTATTTTTGTTTTAAGATGAATGACTTCCTGTGTTGCCTAGGCTGTCTTTGAACTCTGGATTTAAGTGATCCCCATCTTGAATAGCTGTGACTGCCGGTATATACCATCTCACCTAACTTTTGATTTAAGTTTTAGATTCAGCTCTGTCTTTGTAGTTTCTGAATCTTTTTTAGTTAAAAATTCATTATTATCATCATGTGTGTGTGTTCATGATGGATGTGTGTGGGTGATTCTGCATGGCCTGTGTGTGGAGGTCAGAGAACAAGTTAGTATATTCACGTCTCTACTTCTGGGTTCCAGTGATGGAATTCAGGTCAGCAAACTTTCAAGGCAGCACCTCCATTTGCTGAGCCCTCTTGGCTGCCCAGTTTCTGAGTCCTAAATACTAGTCATACTTTATTGTTGAAAACCCAAAACATATTAGATGTTTCTGTCAGCAGATAAAATAGTTTTGTTTTGCATCTTGTGCTAAAGCACAGAGATTGTCTATAGTAAATGAATTGGAAAAAAGTTTCCTCCTAAATGCTTTAATTAGAATATACTTTTCCCCCAATGTTCTGGTTGGTTGGGTTTGAGTAGCTTCATGGGAACAAG